GGGTATTAAAGAGGGCACATACTGAATGGAGCACTGGGTGTTATACGCAAACAATGAATCATGGAACACTACATCAAAAACTAATGATGTAATGTGTGGTGATTAACATAATAAAGTAAAATTTGAAAAATAAATAAATAAATAAAAAATAAAAAACCTGGGGCACTTGGGTGGCTCAGTCGGTTAAGCGTCTGCCTTCAGCTCAGGTCATGAACCCAGGGTCCTGGGATCCAGGCCCATATCAGGCTCCCTGCTCAATGAGGAGTCTGCTTTCCCTCTTCCTCTGTCCCTTCCATCCACTTGTGCTCTCTCAAAAAATTAAATCTTTAAAAAATAGAATAAAAAATAAAAAACCATGTTCTTGTAATGCTAATAATCTAGAAACACGAGTGATGACTGGTAGCACATTTCTGGTTTGAAAAGATTCTTTTGATATATAATGGACTTTCTCCTAAGTACAAAACATTTTTAGGTATTATCCAATTATTGAATACATCTTTAATAGATGAAGATTTAATATTATTTTAATTTTACATGTGAGGAAATTTAAAAATAGATCACAGATGACTCTCTTCTTGTTAACACAGCTGGCAGATGACAGAGCTGCAGCCAGAAATTAAGGAGCCAGATCATGACACACTCCCCCATTTTAATTTACAGACCAAATTTAGCTCTAAAAATAAATTCTCAGCTATCATTTCCTTCCCCATATTATCAGACAGACTCTCAACCTAAAAACTCAGAAAAAAACAACAACGATAGAGCTTCTAGAGGCCTGTGCTTCATACAATAACCATAGCCAGTGACAAACAGAAAATCCTGGAAGTAGGTACAACCAGAGTCTTCATTTGTCTTTATTGGGGCAAAGCGTTGGCAGGAATAATGGTGATTCCTTGTTACATGCTGCATTATGCGTTGGTGAGGTTACTTGTTTTTTTAAAAAGGGCTACTTGCTTTCTTTTCCATTAAGAAGGCGTTCTTTTGACCTACCAACTCCACTTACGAAATTCACCAAAGGCAACATACAAAGGGGCAAGAATGACTAAATAAAATGCTTATCAGGCATTGTTTATAATACGAAAAAAAAAAAAACCCATGAAGTCTAAATGGCAACAGAGAATTAGTTATATAAAATTATGTTATAGATATAAAATGGAACACTTGGGTAGTAGTAAAAACCAACATGATGCAGACCTCTACTAACCTGAAGAGATGTTAGGATACTTTGAGTTAAGAGACAGGTGGATGGGTGCTAGTTTAGATGTATAAATATAACATGTATAAATATAAATGAATATGTGTGTAGAGAAAATAGACTAAAAGAATACAGAATAGAATACACCACAAAATATTTTTTAGGTGGGCCTTATATTCGTCTGTGTTTCTGCTCTCCCATATTTTCCAAATTTTCTGTAATAAATCTATATTACTTTCCTAAGTTTAAAAAGTGGTATAAAAGTTTTGCATCTTAAATGAAGGGACTCACCACCAAAATACACAAAGTCACTTCCTACGACTGTGACATTCTGAAATATCCTTTTGAAACTTATGTATTATACCTAAACATTTTCGTATTTTCCTAGATATTTACATTCTCTGTGCCTTCTGTTTTTCCTAGTAGTAAATGATAAAACTGTTAAAAGCAAACTAAAAGGAACTAAATAACTCATGGCTTTTAGTCATATATAATAAGTACCAAGCACTATCCTACAAAATGCAGGGTAGAATTTTTTTTTTTTCTTTTGGGGAGGAGTAAACTAAGGCTCTATGGCCACACTGGTAGAAATCAGCAGTGCTAAAATTTGAATCCTTGTTTGTATGACTCTTTTCCATCTTGGCAACCTCATGCCCCAACTTGTTGTGTACCAGAATCTATCAACTGAGGGCACCTGGGTGGCTCAGTCGTTAAGCTTCTGCCTTCGGCTCAGGTCATGATCCCAGGGTCCTGGGATCGAGCCCCTCATCGGGGCTCCCTGCTCCATGGGAAGCCTGCTTCTCCCTCTCCCACTCCCCCAGCTTGTGCTCCCTCTCTCGCTGTGTCTCTCTCTGTCAAATAAATAAAATCTTAAAAAAAAAAAAACCTATCAACTGAGATCAGCTGCATTAAAAAAAGAAAGAAAATCAAAGATTCTTCATTGGTATTTTAAAAATTCACATGCAAAACCCCCAGTTAAAGATAGCAGACTAAATGCCTACATTTATCTACTTCACCACCCTACAATAGTAAATTTACCAATAAAGGACTAAGAAACTTATAAAGCCACAATAACAAAGAGAATGAGAGATGAGCCATCAGCCCAAAACAGTGTTGCAAAATTCTGGGAGATCAAAATCAAAAGATGAAGTTTTGAGTCCTTGCAGAGAAGGAAAAGATAAAAACTGAGCCCATCTGTCCTACAGAAAACAAGATAATGTGGATTTTGAAACACTAGTTAGAAAAAGCTAAAGTGAGACAAATACTTCTTTGCCTATTCCTCCAAAGTAGATCATTCTACACAGACAGAAGAGGGCACCATAGAACTAATAAAATTGTGAACCACCCTTAACCTACAGAAGTAAAGAAAACCTAGAAGTCT